CGGGGGGGGGGGCTTTTCCTGTCGCCGCAGCTATTCCGAAGCGCCCGTTTCACCCCCACTCCCACCCCGCGCGCGCGCTTCAATCCACAGTGTCCCATTCTGCCTGCCTGCCTGCCTGCCTTAGTTTCTGGTTGTTTGGGAGCAGCTTCGGCTGAGAATAATAACTATTCGCCTCTTTTACTCAGCCGAAGCTGTTCCGATTCAACCATTAACGAAGGCAGGCAGGCAGGCAGAACGGAGCACTGCGGGCGGGCGGGCGGGCGGACGGGGTGGGGGTGGGGGAGAAACGGGCGCTTCAGGGAAGCTGCGGCGACAGGAAAAGCCCCCCCCCCTCTTTGAAGCAGTTTCTTCCTGTGCTGGTGGAGGAGCGAGAGAGCGACTGAGAGAGCTGACCCAGAGAGAAGGACAGGCTTCGGTTGCTTCCTCCCTCCCCTTCTTTCATTTGTGTCCTTGATCCCCGATCCCAGCAGCATTCACCGAAGGCTTCTTAACATTATATCGGCGTATAACACGCATACATCATTTGCCCCCTATTTTCAGGGGGAAAAAAGTGCGTGTTATACGCCGATAAATACGGTATGTACCTTCTACCAGGCAATACACTGAAGGAAGTCAGTACTCATTAAAGCTTCCTGAATTTAATTCCTGGAAATGCTATCTTGGCAACAGTATGGAAACAGTTTGCCATTACTTTCTTCTATAATTTTTTTAAGAAAACAACCTACAGTCTCAATGTCTTCCATCTAGATCTGACCAACCTTAATTTTTGAGCACAAATAAGATAAACTCGGGATTACCTTTGATTGATATACATATAAAATATCTTTAGCAATTTACAAGTATAAATGTGGACAAAAAAAGCCCGAGCTGGGCCTCAGCTATAGGAGGGCCTTGCTACTGCTTCTTTGTTGTTGTTCTACACATCTTACTCCTTCAGCTGGAAGTCTAGCAATGCCTAGCTTTGATGTGATTTCTCTTATCTAATTTATTCTATTTTTATCCACTATTTTTATTATTTTATCATTTTTATTTACTCATGTTCCCTGCTCTGTCGGGAGGGCAGGATTCTTGGTATACTTGTGAGGAGCTCTGCCACTGTTTGCATTAGGACTCATTTCTTTTCCACTCCCGATTCCTTTTCCTCTGGATTAAGGACTAGTTTTAGTGACTAGACTCTATGCTATATTACACAGCTCCTCCTTTATTGTGCTACTTAATATAATGAAGACAAGGAAAAGGAGCAGATCTCTCACTGACCTGGTCCCTCAACCTTCTCTGAAGCAATCCAAGATTGAGGACTTTGTTTTAGCTTGACCTCTCGGTTTGAAAGCTCCTGCTCCCTTTTGTCTGGCTGCTGCCAGTTGTCGCGCTCTTCCGACGGTTGAGGACGTCTTCCTCCAAGTTGAGAACAAAGGCTTATCTAAAATTACGGCCCCCAACCAATCCTTAAATGAGCCCACCTTTACAGAACTTTTGGCTCAGCAATGTTTCTTGGTCGCAGAAACTACAGCGAGCATTCAGCTCCAGCTTGATAAAATAATAAGTACTTTAAACTACTTAGTTTCCTGGACTACCAGTGGGTGCCCTGGGCTGACCGCTCGGCAGCCTGATGTGGCGGCAGGGTTCTCCCTGCCAAGCCTCAGCAAAAGCACTGGCCAACGTAATCCTACCAATAATTCGAACTTTACATCTTTTGATGCAAACAGTCACTTGGTCTTACAGTCAAAACAGGTGGCCCTCATCATTAATCCCATTAATGGCAACTTACCTCACTGGGGTTCAACACAGCTGGCAAGGGGCCATATATTACAGTTATTGGGGCTAAAAGTTGATGATTTGAAGGTTGAACTTTTACCCTCTCCTGAACACTGCACCAGAGTGCCAGTTTTGACAATTCTAACACCCCAAAGCTATTTTTCAGAAGAGGATCCCTGTTAAGATCCTTCGGCATTCTGCCAAGAAGAGTCTTCAAAGATATGTCGATTAAGCCACTCTTGAGTAATCAACAATTTGTGAGTGGCTGATTTATTGCCCCCAAAAGATCCCCAGCAGTACATGTTAATGTGCCAACCTTGAATGCCATCTCGGATACTACATCACGTGCTAATTATACACCTATTCCCGCAAAACCTCCAGTTGGCGTCCTCTCAGATGGTAGCCTGACTGTTCCTCCAACCGGTCAAATCAACCCCCCGCAGCGAGTAACATCTTACCAGGAAGCTTCCCTTGACTTGATCAGCTGGGAAGAAATGGCCCCAAAGGAAGCAACACCAGCCCAGGGCACCCATGGTTCCTTAGTAAATAAGCCCCAGGTCAGTGCCTCTGGGATTCCATCTATTTTTGAGACCGACTTATGTCAAGACAATTTCTGGAACCAGGAGGAGACACAGCTCTTCGACTTCTTTTGTGCACTTTCACAATCAGAAAGGGCCCAAATCATAAAGCATCTGGATGCAGTCAAATCCAAGCTCTGGAGTCTTTCACTACCTGGTAAGGATTCCCTTGGACTCCAGGGAGTCTATACTGATTTACCAACGGAATCTCCCTTGGCGCTCTCTCCAGAATGTCTAATTTGTAAATTTGAAGATCCAGAGCTATTTTAAACTCTGTCTGTTGATGCTGCTGAATACTTGCCAGCTAAGCAACCAATTAATGCCACAAGTACGAACTGGAGTGCGCTTAGAGCCCTACAGCCCCATGAACAAGGCTCGCCTCCCCTCCCTCCTTCCCTGACTTTGCCTCCTAAGTGGATGACCCTGCCATTTAACAATGGGTGTATCTTTTCGGATCTGAAGGGCACTCTGGGAAAAATTAATCACACAGAATGACTATTAAATCTGGCAAAAAAAACCTGCACACTTAAGTGCCTTTCATGAAACATAGCAGGTTGGGGGAGAAGGTGTGGTACAACAGAATTCGCCAACTATATTCACTCATTTGATGTGGTCCTGCTTCAGGAGAACTGGCCATGCGATAAGATATCCCTTACAGGGTTTACGGTCATTTCCTTGGCCGACACCAGACAATCTACGACAGGAAGGCCTAAGGGTGGTCTAGCTTGCTTGGTCTCTACTGCTTTGAAAGTGGAGACAGTGGAGCTGCCCCCCTGTGGCTCTTTAGCTATGGCGCTCCTAATTAAGAGAGGACTCAACAAACTGTTAGTGTTCAACGTTTATCTTCCCCCGACAATGAGGCAAGCTGATACTAAGGCTCAATGGGGCGTGCTAGAGAATTACATTACTTGTACGGAAACTAAATTCCCAGTGCTGTACATCCTTATAGGGGGCGACTTTAATGCCCGATTGGGAGTCTAAGTTCCCCCATCAATTGAGGCACTCTACTCCCAAGAAACCCTCCAGGCCATAGGACACCTGATTTCAGCAAGACATTCTAAGGATGAATTAACAAATTTTGCTGGCATTCAGGTAGCCCTTTTAGCAGCCCAACACAATAAGATAATTCTTAATGGGACTACCCTAGGTGATCTAGCTGGTGAGTTTACTTTTAGTTCCTCACGTGGAAGTAGCGTTATTGATTTTGTGCTGGTATCCCAGCTTCTTAGAAAGGCTGTCCATGCTTTTTATGTGGACTGCCTTATGGAGAGCGACCACTACTCCCTGGTTACAATTATTGGGCTTTCCTCAAATATACATCTCCCTAGGGGTCCCCAGATATTAGATCCCTATGTGGCCTTGTATACAAGGAGGATCAAATGGTCTTCTAATACTGAAAGAAAGTTCCGCTCCTTTTTATCATCTCCGGAGTGTCTCAGCTTATACAATCAGGCCCTAACAAGTAGTGGCCCAGGGACAATCTCGGCCTTTGAATCACTAATTAATAGTGTTCAAAGGGAGCTAGGAGCCATCCATAGGCCAAGTGGTCCATATCATTCAAGAAGTAATTCTTCGTTTGACAAAGAGTGTCTGATGCTCAGGAACCAGATTAATAGGGTTTACCTGTTCTATCGTAATCGAGGGGATAAATGCTCACCAGAGGACTACTATCGCTTGAAGCGGGAGTATAAAGGACTAATTGCTAAGAAAAAGAAAGCTAAAGAGAGAGAGAAGTGGGACCTACTTCTCCTCTCTAGCCAGCAGAAGAACACTCGATTATTTTGGCAAATTGTTGCCGGCTCCTTGCTGGGTCATCAAGAACTCCCTCTCTGCTGTATTTCCAACAGAGATTGGGAAAACCATTTCTTGGCAATTTTCCAGGCGTCAACAAGTTCAACCGTGCTTGGGCCACAGCTGCCTCCTGCAGTTCCTGACTGGCAACCCGTGACTCATGCTGAGATTACCAAGCTTATCTCTGAACTCAAGTCAGGCAAAGCCCCTGGCCCTGATGCTATATGCCCTGATCTGCTAAAATCCAATCCCGAGTGGTGGATTCCTCTCTTAGGAAGACTCTTTATGCACATCAATACCTCTGGCAGAATCCCTACCTCCTGGAGCTTAGCAATTATTGTTCCAGTTTTTAAACGAGGAAATAGGAACAATCCAGCCGACTATCACCCCATAAGCCTACTCTCCATCATTGGGAAACTGTATGCTAAATATCTCCAACGTAGACTCCTCACCTGGGTTGAGGAGTCCAATATTATTGGTGCTGAACAGATTGGGTTTAAAGCGGGCTGTGCCACACTGGACCACTGCTTTGTCTTAGCACACCTGGTCGATAAATACACTACCATACCAGGTGGCAAACTTTTTACTGCTTTTATCGACCTAAAGTCAGCGTTTGACTCAGTCCCTAGGGGACTGTTGTGGTCAAAACTGCTCAAAAGTTCTATCGATAGACGTCTTTTGTTCCTAATTAGATCCTTGTACAACCAGACTTCTAGTCAGGTCAGGTGTGGTCTGCAGGGAGAACTTTCAAATCCTATCCGGATTAAGAATGGAGTAAGGCAGGGTTGTGTTCTGGCTCCTCTTTTGTTTAATTTATTCTTATCTGACTTGGCCTTTCACATTGGACGTATTGAGTCCCACGCCCCAAAGTTGTCAACTACGAAGATCCCGCTTCTCCTTTATGCTGACGATGCAGCCCTCCTTTCATTGTCAAGGCCAGGTCTGAAAAGATTACTTTCTGCATTTGAGTCCTACTGTGCTGAGAACCACTTGTCTATTAATTACGACAAAGCCAAAGTATTGGTGTTCTCTAGAGCCCAGAAATTGTATAACTGGGCTATCAATGGTAATGCTGTTAAGCAGGTTTTCCATTTTAAGTATTTAGGTATTCAATTTTAGAACACCGGTGCTTGGACTAGACATCAAACCCAGGTGCTGAACTCGGCCTCCTGTAGTCACCAGCAGATTTTAAGATTTTTTATACCCAAGGAGGCCAGTTTATTCCTTCTGCTCTGCATATTTACAAAGCCAAAACTTTGGCTCAAACTCTTTATGGAATTCCCATATGGATACGGGGCTTCAAGGATTGTATTGAAAGAACCCAGGCTGTTTTTTTTTTAAGAAAACTTCTGGGTCTTCCTCCTTGTGTTGATTTTGCTCCAATGTACCTGGAACTGGGCACTTGATCAGTCGAATGTATGGCGTGGATTAACACCTTTAAATTGTGGTTTTGGGTGCTCTTTCTGGCAGTTCCTGGTAGCTCCTCTCCCTGGCGTTTGCTGACTCTCATATTTCTCGTCGGGAGAGGGAGCTGATGAAGAAATTACACCTGCTAGGTTTTACGGGGGATGCCCTGGGAGATTATGGCCTTAAAGACGCCCAATTTAGGATAGTCCAACGGCTTGTGGACATTGACTTGCAATATCTATGAGCCAGAGCTAACAAAACTTGCTCCCCTCTGATCTTCAGCCAATTTAATAATTACGGACTGAGGATGGCTTCCTATTTTTACACTCTAACCATTCCCAAGTATAGAAGAGCTTTCTCCCTAGCTTGCTTTAATGTTCTGCCCTCAGCACTACTGGATGGGTGATTTAAGAGGCTCCTGATTAACGAGCGGCTATGCTCCTGTGACAGAACTGAGGTTGAAACTGTGGAGCATGTCCTTTTATATTGCCCTATGTATAACACAGGCAGATCTAAGTTACTGTCTCTCCTTAAAACAGACCCTTCTAGACCCAACGTTAGTAATTTGTTCTTATATTGTCTAGGGGATGGCTCCTCATATATCACTTCTTTGGTTTCCAATTTTTTTAAAGAGTTGTAACCATCAGAGGAGAATGCTGTAATTCCCCTTAGTAAGGTTTTTGGTGACCAATTGTTCATGATTAATTTTCCCATGTTCTTCTTTTGTTGTACTTGTGTTTTGGTCTGTGACCGCAAATGAAGTATTATTATTATTATTATTATTATTATTATTATTATTATTATTATTA